AAAAAACACAAGTGTTTTGCGACTTTCCTACCTTTTCGCACACCTGCATCTTCTTTCTTCTGATCTTTTCTCTTCTGACTTTTCTCCCCTCTGACTCTGCTCCCGTCTGGCTCTTCGCACCTCTGCTTTTTCATCTGTCCATATTGTCGGAAGTTTAACTTCTAAACTTCCTTCGATAATTATATTGTCTATAGACACACGCTTTCACCTCCAAAACTCATATACACAAATTCTACTCTATCGGATGTATGTCATCAACCAAGTTTTTACATGCCAAGCCTCTGTCACAGTACTTGAGTAGGCAGTGACTGTGTTTTCATTCACTTTTGTTGAGCGTGGATGGGCATGAGCCATCTCAAGACAATGCCCGGGAACAAAGTGTAAGCCACGACTGACATTCTTTTGTTGGCATATCATTTAGGACTATATGTGCAACAGGTTCTTCTTCGATCGGCTGAAGCTTCCAGAGAGCTGTCAAGATGCCAAGATTCTGGACGAGGATGTCTTGGATCGAGTTGCAGCTCAATGATTTCAACAAACAGAACGCAGCAATGATGTATGTCGTTTTCAGGAGATCATGGGCTTGAAGCGCCTGGAGTGGTTGGTTGGAACACTCAGAGACTTTCTGTTGGTGATCGATCTAAAGGTCCTTGTAAAGAGTTTCACTGCAACCTTGACGTTTGCCCGGAGTTGATGTCCCGCCTTCCTGATTTTGATCCATCATGAAGATAAAGTTGATGTTATTACCCCATTCAACATATTGGTCATAGGGGGTGGCGAATTTTGATCCCTCATGAAGATAAAGTTGATGTTATTTCCCCAATCAACATATTGTTCTGAGGAGGTGGCGAATTTTGATCCCTCATGAAGATAAAGTTGATGCTATTACCCCATTCAACATTGGTCATAGGGGGTGGCGAATTTTGATCCCTCATGAAGATAAAGTTGATGCTATTTCCCCAATCAACATATTGTTCTGTTATGTCACAGACATGAGTCTGGGCGAACGTTAAGGTTGCGGACAAGAGTTTTAATTGCGAAGACCGTTCATGTTACTGTATGTTGGGAAACCTTGCGAAAGCTTCTTCGAGTTCGCGAAAGTAGCATTTTTATTCGCGAAAGTTTCGCGAAAGTTGGATATTATGAATCACATATTCTGTATAACATATACAATCTGTAAAGGGCTACCAGCCCTGCCCCCCGGGGCTCCGGCAGGAGAAGGGTACCGGGTACCAGAGAATTTCCGTTTGGCCTGGTTCAGTTCACTGCGTTGTGCTGTACTTCGGACATTTACCTTTCCCTTCAATTCGCTTCATAGGTAGCGGCTGAGCTTCCAAAGGTGAGGCTTCGCCACAGCCTGGATGAAGCACGTCCTTGCTGGCAGTGCCTAATGCGGCTTTAGTCCCAAGAAACAAATTCCAAAAGGCAGCGGCCAAGCTTCCAAAAATTAGGCTTTGCGGGTCCCTGGTGTTTGCTTTTCCTCTGATGTGCCCCCTGCTGATGGCTGGGGTCTGCGGATAGGGATATTTTCGCGAAAGTTCTGCAAAGGAGCAGGCGACAGTCAAAGTGCATTTTGAAGCGGTGGCCCAGCAAGTCTTGCGAAAAAAAATCTAATCAGCAACCATCTGACCTGAAAAGGGTTTCCGCGATGCTAGCTGCATGTTTACAAGGCTATCAAGAAGTGATCCGTGATGATTGAGCGTAATTTGGCAGGTGATGAACGAATCTTTTAAAGAGGCGTTGTTGCCAAACATGGTTTCCGCGAAAGATAAACATGAAGTTCGCGAAAGTTTCGCGAAAGTAACGTTTTCTTTCGCAAAGAATGGCCGTTCCCGGATAAGGGGATTTTGATCAACAACTATGTATATCTTGGGAGGTCTGTGTTTGGTTGGGTCTGGTAGGCATTGAGTGGTAGGGGCGATGAAAAATGAAGGTTGGGACATCATTTTTCAATTTAGCAAAATTTATCCATCCTTTTGTGGCTCTCAGGCTGGCAACGTCGGAATCCTCTTCCCACAGTTGCAACAGTTTGGTGCTTGACTGGATTGACTGGGGTTCGATTTTGTGGTGGCTTTTCCCTTCCAGCCTAATTCATGGACAAAGCGGCAGCGCTCCTGATTCTTGTGTCTTGAGGCCTCAAACGGTGATTTCCTGGCTTAGTTGGATCAAGGTGAGGGAACTCAGAACTACAGTACCACTAACCGCAGGAAAATGTGCCGCCACCTATCATGGCTGTGTTGCTTGGCAGGCAAAGCTATCCTTGGACTTCTGGACAAGCAACCTGAAGGCCAGGTGACGCACAACTGCACAACGTGTGCACAAATGGCTCTGCGCGGCTGCGAATATCTTGGACAGGCTGTCCCAAGGCAGAGACTCTGGCATCCGGCGCTGGCGAGAGAGCTGGCACGGGTGGAAGAGTTTGGGGCCTTAGCAAACCTTAAGCGTTGCCATAAGCACCTCAATCAGACTAAAACAGACTAGGTCTGTGGATGCTGTAGGCCACTGTAGGCTGATAGCAAGCTGCAGGCACTTGCCGACGCTAGTATTGACCAATCCCCACAACTGGCATGTCATGGCGCTCCATCCTTCTGTCGGCTTTGTGGATGTGGCAAGGCCCATGCTGGACGATGTGCTGAGTTTCTATTTCCAGGCCAGAAATTTGCCACAGAAGATTCCAGGTCTCTTGATTGAATATGATTTGGCTCTCGAAAGCACCCCGCTTTGGGCTATGTTTTTCGCTTGCGTAGGTTCCAAATGGCTTGCCAGAGCCCATATATCCATCCGCAGAAGTAGTGCAGGAGATATGCAGTGACAAGATCGGATTGGCAGCGAGCGGGAAATCAGTCTGTCCCATTTGCACAAGGTTGAATAATTTGGTGATGACCTGACTTGAATTCTGTCGCTGTGGGCCTTTGCGAAAACTTGGCTCAAACGATTAATTAGATTGAATTTTCCTCGCAGGTCTTAGCCTGATTTTTTGAGATTTGCAAGCTTAGGAGCTTGCTTGTAGCTTTCTACATTGATGGCGTCTCTATGGAATGCCTTGCGTTCAGAGGTCATGGGTACAGTGGATGAGTTCCGCCAGAAGGGAGCCATTGGCGCCCTTCGGGATGCAGCCCTCGATACGAGGGATATGGCCACGGGCGCAGGTACCTGGCTTTGGGGAAATGTGAAGTCCCTGGTGGGGGAAGATGGACAAGACACTGCAGTGCTCATCTTCGATGGGGTGCCCCCACGTGGTGCCACAGCACCCTTGCAGTTCAGTGATGGCCAAGTTGTGGAGGCAACAGTGATGGAGGTGGATGGTGTGTCAGATCCCCCTAGAGCCCAAGTCAAAGTGGAAGGCATTGAGGAGCCCTTGCTAGTACTCGTGCGGACCACCAACGAAGTGGTTCATGCAGAGAATGAGCCTGGCCTGCTGGGCAGCATCAAACAGGAATGGGACCAAACAGTGCAAGACTTTCGACAGAAGGGAGCTGTAGGTGCCCTGAAAGATGCAACTATGGATGCGGTGGATTTGGTGGGAAGCACTGCTGGCAAGGCAGTGGACCTCATTGGCAACACAGCTGACAAAGCCATTGATGGGGCACGCTCTCTGATAGATTTAGACGCACCAACGGAGCAAACAGCCGATCAGCAGAGCCAGGGTCAGGGGTCAACCCAGCCTCCAACTCAGCCTCAACCTGGCCGCGTCATGCAGTTTGTGGACAGTGTGAAGACTGAAATCAAAGACACGGTCCAAGATTTCCGTGAAAAGGGTGCTGTTGCGACCTTGAAGGACGCTGCTATGGATGCAGTGGATCTGGTTGGGAACACTGCAAGCACTGCTGTCAGTGGAGCTAAGACAGTTGCTGCCCCTATCCTTGAAGATTTCTGGGCTAAGCCGGAGGAAACAGCTCCGGAGGCCTCTCCAGGCCCCGCTGCCAGCAGTTCAGCGCCAGCTGAGAGAGCACCAGCTGCTGCCCCGGCTATGGCGACTGCGGCGACTGCGGCGACTGCGGCGACTGCGGCGTCCGCAGCTTCTGCAGCTTCCACGGCCGCACCAGCTGCTCCAGCCGCAGCCGCAGCGGCCATGGCAGCCACGGCAACTTCCCCGAGTCCAAAAGCTGGGTACGTAGCAACTCCTCCCAAGGATGCAGAGGGTGATGATGGAAAGGCTCGTAAGTCCTTGGTGTCGATGCGACGTGGCATGTTTGAACAGAAAAAGGACGAAACCAAGGAAGAGCCCAAAAAAGAGGATGAGGCACAGGAAGAGGAGGTGATCGACTGAGTGCTGACAACGTTTGTGCCCAAATAGATCCGTGCTACTTTGCACGCTTTTTGCTCTGAGTCCACTTTTGAAGATGAGAGCGGAAAAAGCCTGGCATCGCAGCAGATCTGTGAACTTGGTGTGCTGTGATGTGCTGTGTTCGTAGTATTCATGTGCACATGGCAGTGCCGCATCTTCTGGATTCTGCGTTTTTTTTTGATCACACGAAGACCTTGTGAGGAGCTCGCTTTCAAGTCCCACCTTCTCGCTGCCTGGCTGCATGTGACTGAAGGTCTATTGATCCAATTCGAAGTGGATATGCCGATATGCCGTGATATCCTGGCAGATGAGCCAATTTCGCTGTTTTCCTCTGCCGAATGCAAGGAGCGCTTGCGCCCAAGCGGTGATATCAAAAGAAGCCTGGGAGACTTCACCACAGCATTCACCTTGAGGTTCAGATATGTTTGGACAGAGTTTGGACATGTTTGGACATAATTTAGGTATATTTATGATATTTATGTCATTTTATGTTATTTATGTCACAAAGCAGCTTCCAATCTATCAAGGTATCTCAAGTCTGTGTATCAATCTATTTAAAGCAGGCATTCAAGCTTTTGCATTGGCATCGTTTTCTTCACCCATGTCGTTGACGAAGTTGCTTCTTGCCCATGACTTGATGAAGTATTGTCACTCAACGATGTTAAAGGAATCTGCGAAGATTTAAACCAAGCCTTGTGGACACGCTGTTGGAAGGTTGCACGCCTTCACTTTGATCTTCAAGTCGAAGTTGCATGGGACCTTTGATGCTGAGTTGGATGACCCCACAGGACCGCAGAAGTTGTGTCATCGGTGTGTTGCTGAGCACTTGAAGGGACTGTCATTTTCTGTTCCCTTGCCTGGACTGCCTGGGCTGCCTGGGCTCTTGTGAGAGGTTGGTGGAGCCGTATGGATGCTCAACAACTGCTGCCGTATCTGAACCGCTTGGCTTTGGCACTTCTGCGGGATGAACCTGATAGTCGAAACCTGCCAGTACAGGGCAAGGCTGGTCCTGTATGTCCTCTGGTGTTCCTAAATTTAGCACCACCGGGGCCCCGTCCCGCATGAGAACCCAGAAAATCCAGCAGATTCCAGCAGCATGTGAGGCGCTGCGCGTCAGCTTGTTGCTTCTCTTGCGCAGCCTCTGCGACCGCCAGCGGCGCAAAGCGCTGGCACCCGGCACCTGGTGGCTGGCACCAGAGTTGCGGAGTTTGCTGCAGGAACACATTCATTCTGTGAAGTTTTCAACAATGTACAGTAATTATCACCTATGATTTATCATCACTTATTTTAAGATATCTTACGATATCGTAACTTTTCCCAACATGTCTCAACTTTTGCCCAACCCCAAGATGTGGTAACACCGTCACCGGATGCCCAGCTTAGCCCATGAGTCAGGAGGGTCACCTGGCAGAGCTCAGTGCCCACGTCTCCGGCGCCTTAGGCGCCGAGAGCACGGCCACCGCGGCTCCAGCGGTGCCTGGGAGCCGAGAGCTGCTGGAGACGGTCCTGGCGGAAGCACCTCAGATGCTGCCCTTCGAAGATCGCACCTGGGAATCCAACTAGACCACAACATTCACATTGAAATAAACACAGAGAGAGAGATATATATATATATTATATAATATAATGTATACATTATATATATATATACACATATAATTTCACAAAAAGTAAGATATCTCAACTCAACATGGCTTAATTGAGACTTTAGGAATCTTTAGGACATAAATTCACCTAACTGTGACAGCTCCACCATGGTCCATGGAATCGATGAACATCCAATGTGGAGGTTGCAGGGAGCATCAGACATTGACCTCAAATGACCCCAGCATTTGAACAGATTTGTGCTGTTAAGGTGTTGCTTTGCTGCACGCTCTCATCCTTGCAGACCAGGCCAGCCATGTCATTGTATGATTTGATGAAATTTGATGGTTGCCAGAATGCAACCTTTGCGTAGCAGTGAAGAATCGACGTTCAGGAACAGAAACTGGAGAGGCTGAGCCCATAGGTCTTAGATTCCCACCCGCAATATGGTCTATTTATGATTATGTTATACAGTAATGCATTATGTTTATTTGCTTTCCTTTGGTTTGCATTGGGGAGTTTTCATCCCCTGACCAACACTTTGTCATGTGACATGAGCAGTTTCCTGTGTTGCCAGGCTGATCGGGAAGACACACGTGCAGACTGGGCGAGAGCCAGTCAGCCACGACATCGCATTCGCGGCTCAGCGATGTTGATTTGGAACAGTCCTGATTTCTGGGCATATGGAAACCGCATTATATATAATATAATCTGATAATGATACGTATATATTTTATATAGCTCGAAAAATGCTCGATATAAATTCATCTACGGCGAGCGACGTGCAACGGCTTTTACAGTGTCTAAAACTGTATGGGACATAGAGAGAGACCAGGAAGAGATTACCTCATGGAGGATGGCTTTGCAGCTTTTGAGCGGCTGACTACAACTGCGGAGCTGCGCTCCGTCTTCGTTGTGGAGTCACTGGGTCCAGATCAGACGGTCACAGCATGTCCAAGAGCATTCAACCGGCTCACTTCCTCACTTTGACCGCGGCGCAGTTCTTGCAATGTCCAACGTTAAGTGTTCGTATCATGGCTCTGTTTGCCTTCCAGGTTTGTAGCATCTGATGGAAGCCTGGAAAGTGGTATTGATGGAGGTGGACTCTTCAAAGAATTCATGAAGCTCGGCTGAGGATGTTGAGGGTGACAAGTCGGCCACTAATGCGAGCACGTGTGATCATGTAGCCACACCTTTCTTGCAACCAAGGATCTATGTTTGTCGCACTGCTTTCAGCCCTGAGTATGGGCTTTTCAGTGCCAACAGCGACAACCGAATGTACCCTTTCCCGGGTGCTTTTGCAATGCATCCAGATGCCGAGAAGCTGTTCCGCTTCTTGGGCAAGGTCAGGGGAAGATAGGAGACGTGGATCAACAACAGACTTTTCTTTGCTATTCTTTGGTAGTGCTGTCTAAAATTGAGTCATCAGATGTCATGAGCTCAAGATCCGGGACTCTTTTCGCTGTGCCTACAGGTGGCTGGCAAAGCTATCTACGAGATGATGCTGCTGGAACCGCAGTTCTCACGCGCCTTCCTGAATCGCGTGCTGTGCCGGGAGAGTGACATCGAGGAATTGTGCATGGTGGATACAGTACCAGTCTGGCGGCATATGTTGGGGTCGAATGGTCCAATGATAGATACAGTAAGAGGTGCCAGATGACTCCAGATGGTACCGTTGTCCGAGATGCTCCTGAGTTGTGCACTGAACTTGTTTTGATTGCAGGATGTGGCTAGCGTCGATCGTGACTTGCATCGTGGCATGTGGCAAACCAGCGCCTTGCAGTAAATCGCGAAGAGTGTGCGGTTTCAGGCATTGGCAGTGTTCGCTTGAATCAATCTGAACAATCTGACAACTAAGGACAACATCCAAATGTTGAGGACTGCATGTTGCCGATGAGTTTCTTCATCGTTTGTCGGTTTTTCTTCGGTATATTATGACGTTTCGAATGCAGAAGTGCAGCATTTCACATCCAGATCCAGTGAATCTTCAGGAGTTGGGCCTTAGCTTCACAACAGCTGTGGAGCTGCCTACGGGATGTAGTGAGGTGGAGCTGATCCCTGGTGGTGCCCACGTGGATGTGACCAAGGAGACTGAGCCGATTTTTGACCAAGGTTATGAGAAAAAAATCAACAAAGTATGAACAAATCAAACGGACTTGTGAGATCTTGTGATCCAGGGCGGATGATGTTTATTGATGATGCTATGTTTGTTTGTTTACGATTTTTCTTGGAAATCATGGCGGACACTTGCAGGCGCACTACTGCAAACTTAGAAATGTCATGGGTCATTGGCAGGACAACCTGGAGAGATATCTTCAGCTGCTGACAGTCCATCGAACCAGCACCCAGATGGACCGGCAATCCGCAGCGCTTCGGGAGGGCATGGAGTGTCTCGATATGTCTCGATATGTCTCGATATGTCTCGATGCAAGCAGAGAGTCGGCAAGATCCGTTCCGCATGAGTTCTCATTCGTATCATGAGTTCTGTTGCAAGCAGACTGAAGGATCGTGAAGTCGTTGGGCATCGTTGCGCTGTATCTTTTTAACTGATTATTAAATGCTCTTAAACGACTTTAAATGCTTCTTTGTATTTTGTTTTTACATTTGGCTTGTGCTTCCAAAGTTCAATTGTTTGACAAGGTGTGTTCTTCATTCCTCCTGGATCGGCATGTTCGACGCTCGAGAGCTTGGGATTCTCATCTCTGGCTCTTCCACCGGCTTCAACGTTGCAGACCTCAAAGAGCACACGGTCTATGCCGGAGGTTACAATGAAGCTCGGCAGCTGCGTCGAATATTCGGCAGTTGTTCAAACATGTTCAACTTCAAATATCTTCAAATCATGATTTGCAAGTTATGATTTTTCATGTGCATTCATTTGCCTCATCTGCATCGAAGCCCAGTAGATTCCAGTCTGATGTCACATTGATGTCTTGGTGCCGTACCAGCTACAGCAGATTGACTGTGAGGAGCGCAGCCAAGTGATCCGGTGGTTGTGGGATCTGCTGGACCAGATGGAGCCAGAGGACTCTGCTGAATCCGCAGTATCACAGTAACTGAGTAACTATCACATTTGTGTCATATGTAACTCATAATTGATCATATTACTGTATAATATTGATTTCTACATGATTCTCTATGTATCATAATTGTCATACTGCACCTGTGAAAATTTGGGATTATTGAACTTGAACTATATTAAACTCATTAAACCTGACCTGAAAACAGCATGTCCCGCCCGAGGATATGGGCAGCTTTCTGATGTTCGCTACATCATGTAGCCGACCCCCACTCCTAGGCCTCACTGTGGGACGTTGGAGTGGGTAAAAACGTGCAGTAGAAAAGGAAGTTGCGGGGTCAGTCAAGTCTATGTTTAGGTGGTGCAAGCTGGCTGCAAATTCAAATTTATGAACATTTATGCAGGTTTATCGGTTTATCATCTAACTGAAGCTTTCACTGTTGCGGATCGTTCAACGCAGATTCTTTCACGACACGGGAGGCTTCAAGAGCTTCGACCCCAAGTTCTGCATCCACAAAGTGAACGACGGGCGTGGGTCTCAGAGTGGATTCCATGACCAGATGTGACCAGGGGATTCATCGCAATAAATTGCCCAAATGGCAATGGTTTTCCAATTTTTGCTGGTCTTCTGTCTCAAAGACATGACAAAGCGGACACAACGTGTTCTTTTATCAAGATGTGCTGACGAAGCATAGAACTTGGTAGCCATTTGTCCGGTTTGCTGCTTTATTTTTGCTGCTTCAAGGTCGCGTCTGCCAACAGTTGCTGGGATGCAAAAACTAAAAGAAGTCATGCTCTTGGAGCTTGTAGCAGCTGTAGCAATTGCGAACGTGTGAGGCTTCCACCTGCGCGAACTTGCTGAAATTGCCTGAGACTTGTCATGAACTATGGCCTTGCATCAACTTTGCCCCCTGGATCCCCCTAGTATCCCTCGTCTCATGTCGATCTGGCCTGGAAAGACCGGATCAGTGATACCTCCATGACAAAGCTATGACAGGCTGTGACATGGTTGGGCACACAGTATTTTTGCATATTTTTAAATATTTTTAAAACAGATTTCAACTATTTTGGGCTATATGTTCTACGCCCACTACTGACTGAGGAATATCCCAGCATGTTGGTGCTTCGAGAGAAGTTGCTGCAAGCCATTCGTTCGGAGAGCGGCTTTGACTTGAGCTGAACATGGGCTGCATTCCAGCAGTATCATGCAGCACATTCAATATCCATGGCAAAATTGTCATGGACGACACTTGAAGGGTTTGGACTAGTTTTGATTCGGGTGTTTGTTTCACCGAGTTTCAATGCATTTTCCAGCCCGTTTCTCACCCAGATCCAGTACCTGGCAGATGAGTGCCATTGAGCCCCCAATCGCTTGAAAACTCGACCAAACTCTAGCAGAGAAGACACTTTGGTCATTCTGAACTGGCAGCTCTGACAGATTTCGACACTTGTCTCTTTTTGTTTGAAGATGTGCACTGCCACCCGGAAGCTGTTGAAAGCTGGATACTGAGTGCGAGCACGAACAAAAAAACATGCAAGAGACATGAACTTCAGTTAATAAGACAGATGAGAAGACAGACAGCCGCTGGGACAAATTATATAGGGGCAGAGAAGCCGTTCACAGAACTGGGCAAGTGATGCACACCGATTTCAGTGTCATGCACCATTCAACAAGTCAACAAAAATCAAGCCAGTCAAGCCACCCAAGCCCGTTGAGTCAAGTTGGTAAAGCCACAATGGCTGTGATACAAAGGCGTTTCGACAGGTCATGAAATGCTGACATATCGAGACATATCGAGACATAGGACGCCAGGTCTTCTCCAGAGATGTCGCCAGAGCGACGCCCATGTCGTCTGTATCGACCATGCCGGTCAGGGCGGTCGATGATTGGGAGGGTGCAAGTCATAAGACCGTCAGGCCAGCAACGTCAGAAGTTGGAATCAACAGCAAGTGGGGAGGGTTGTGTGCCCTGGCTGCCTGGCTGATTGCAAAGCCTGTCCTTCCAGGTCGCTCCAGTCTACTTCGCAGGTTCCTCCAGGCTCTAATGGGATAGACTTGGGGTTGGCAGAAACATGCAGTCAGTGCTTCCTTCGAAGTGGGGCCCAAAGTCGCGTATGTGGCGTGGCATTCTTTCAGGCCGCCCTTTGCTGCCTTGCTGGTGCGGATCCTGCCTGGCAGAATGAGGTGGATCGGGGCAGTTCACCAAAAGAAGCAACGGCAAAGGTACTTGGGAAATGACAGCGATGGCAACTGCGAAGCAAAATGCATCAACATGTCACAGACTCTGCAAGAGTGCCAGGCTGCTGGCATGCTGGCTTCGACCCTTGGTAGCAGCAATACACGACCTGAGTCAGGAACATCAGCAGCAATACCAGCAGCATGTTGCAGCGACTTGTTACATAGGGTTTCACAACTACTTAGCCTGAAATGTGAACGATCCAAGCTCCTCCACTCTTTTCCCCAGGCCGGCCAAGGAGTCAGTGAATACTTCTCGCCAGGCTACTAGCCTCAGAAGCATTTGATAGAGAGCTGGAGAGGCAGAGAATGCACGATGAAGGCACACAGAGACATCAGAGACATCAGAGACACAAAGTTGCGAATAGAGACCTACACGAGCTACACAGGATTGTCCGATTCTGGTTCCAACTTGAAGATGATTTATTTGTGCTGCTCTGGTTCTCATGTGATCCTTTATTATATGCATACTTAGCCTTGGTTTGTGAATTTTGGTCCCAACTTCAAACAAATGGTCGCTCTTTACATATACTTTACACATTCTTTACATTTCATCTTTTTTCCTTCGTTTTTGTTTGTACATTTTGTGCCGTGCTCCGTGCTTATTGGTTGGAGACTGTTGGAGCAATCCAAGGCCTCCAAGGCCTCCAAGGCCTCCAAGGCCTCCAACTCTTCGTCCAACGTCACGGCTTTGGAACAGCAGCTCCGAGATTCGGAGGCGAAGGCGGTGGTGGCGCAGGAGTTGGAGGTGCCCAGCTCAGCCGATTCGGATGCGGAGTTGGAATGAGTTGGAACTTGCTTCAATCTGAATCAGTGAGAAGATGTGAGAAGGTCTACATGTGTAATATTGTGTAATCTATATAGATTGATCTAGCGTATTTGTCTGTGACTCATGCTTGAAGTTGTCGGATTCAAGATGGTGACCTCTTCAGTTTACGTTTCAGGAACAAGAAAAGGAGTTGCTCATCAAGACCATCGCGAGAGCAAAAGAAGCAGAGGTTACAGTTCAGCGTGAGAAAAAGGAAATTGCTTCTGAGAGCAAAGAAGCTCAGCAAGCAATCCAGCGACAGCAGGAGCTGGAAGAAAAGCTGCGCAAAGCGTTGGCATCTTTGCGGCAGTCGCATGAACATGGACAGATGGTTGAAAAGAAAGAAAAGGCAGATCTTGCGCGAGCTAAATCTTTGGAGGAGGAAGTTACGGAAGTACAAAAGCAGCTGGAACTGGAGAAGAGGAACTCAAGCAGAGCCATCGCCAATGCCTCAGAGGAGGGGCTCAAAGCCAATCGGTTGCGGCAAGAGGTCCTCAAGTTGGCACAGGAGTTAGCAACAGCGAAGAAGGACGTGGCTTGGGCCAAGAAGAAAGGTGAAGCTGCCGGGGAACGATTAAACAAGGAAGAACACGAGGCCCACTTAGCCCTTGTGAATCAGACCCAAGAAACGCTTGCAGCAAAGAAAGAAGCTGAAAGGGCAGAGGGAGCTACTCAGAAGGCCTTGAAGGAGTTGCGTACCATGGAGCTGGCATTGAAACATGCCCGCAGTCAAAGATATGCCGCCGAAGAAAACGCTACAAAGCTCATGAAGGAAGAGTCCATGGTAGAAAAAGAGCTGAGGCGAGGGAGGATACAAGCAAGAGCTGATGCACAGCACATGCAGTCTGCAGAGGCAAATGCGAGCCAGGAACATCGTGCTGCAGACCTGGCGCAAAAAGCTTTGGACAAAGAACGGCAGCAGTTTCAAAAAGCAAAGAGTCAATTGGACAGAGCCAACTCAATCGCAAGAACATCTGCCAAATTGGAGCAAGCTGCCAAGGAGAAGGAGCAAGAGACAGAGAAACAACTGTCCATCGAGCAGCAGAGGTTCGAAGCGGAAAACCAAACAGCCCATCAACTTATGTTCAACACAACACGTTTGAAAAAGGAGCTGGAGCAAACACTCAATGCCAGCAAACACGAAGCAACAAGAAATCACGCACTGGCTGAACTACTGCGTGGTGCTCATGCAGCAGTAGCCAAGGCAGAGAGTGATGCGGAGAAAGCCAAAAATCGATCGGTGCAGCTCGAGGAGAAGGCCAACACAACAGCAAAGTGGGCAAAGCTGGCTGTGGCCAATGCCACTGATGCAGCAAGCAAGGCCCTTGCTGGAAAGCGGCAGGCCATGGCATCTATGACCAAACTTAAGCAGGATGTCAGGACTGCACGGAGCGATGTGCATAAGGAAGAAGAAGCAGCAAAGCGTAGAGAAGAGGAGGACAGAAGAGAAGCAGCACTTGCTAACTCAACCGTTGCCTCCTTGAGGGATGATGTCAAGGCAGACAAGCATCACATGAAGCTGGCTTTCTCAAACATTTCCATATTGCGAAGAGAGGTTCAAGATCTCCAAGGCAACTTGACTGCTTCTCGGCGGGAGGCGGCTGCGAACGAACGGGCTGCTGAGATGAAGGCAAAACATGTCAAGGTTTTAGCTGACAATGCCGCAAAGGAAAAACAAGAAGCACTGGCAGCTGAGCACGAAGCAGAAGACAAACAGAAGACAATGTTCAAGAGATACGTCACCCTGAACAAATCTGTGAAGCGCTTGGAGGAGGAGTTGCTCAAAGCCGAGCGAGTCGGCACCAAAGCCAACCAGAGTGAAGAAATCGCTGAGAAGCATCTCTCGAAGGAGGAAAAGAACGAGGCACATTTAAATCAGAGCATTGTCTTTATGACAAAGAGGTTGGAGATGGAAGCGCAGCAGCTCCGTGCAGCGCATGAGCAGGCAAAGGAAGCTGGAAAGGAAGCAGACTTAGAAAAGCAGAAGCGGCAGAAGGTGGAAAAACAATTCACCAAACAGGAAGACATTGATAGACACAGAGTCGAGCAGTTGCAGAAGCAGTTGAGTGTTGCTACAGTCGCGCTGCAGACGGCCCACGCCAAAGAGCACGGTGCAGAAGATCAGATCAGAAGCTTAAATGCGACGATTGCAAAAGGTATGGCAAGATTGAAGGCCGAAACACGTGGAGAGAAAGCTTCCGAAGAAAATGCAACGAAGCTGGCTGAGTCACTGGAGAGCGTTCGCAAGCAGAACACGAATCTGACACGGCAGGTAAAAGCTGGAAGAGCTGCTCAAAGAGACTTGGAGACTTCAAAGGACAAGGTGATTGAGGACGGCGAAAAGGAGGTGAAAGAACTGAAGGACAAAGAAGAGCGGCAGGACCAACTCACCAAAAAGCTTCAGCATCAGCTCTCAGTGTCCAGACAGCAAGAGGCAGCAGATCAAAAGGCCGCCAAAGATGCACAGCAAGCTGAGCATCGAGAAGATTCAGAGCTTCATGCTGCGGAAGCCCACGCTCAGCGTGCGGCTGAACTTGTACAGCAGGTCTTGCAAGGGCATCCAGGGCATAAAGGGCAAAATGCCACCGGGGTGGCAACCACAGCTGAAGTTGTCAACCTGACAGGGGCACTCCTGCAACTTCGTGGAAAAGAGAGGGAAGCAGAGAAGGAAAAAGACTTGGCCCAGAAAGAGATGGCAACCCGACTTCAATCATCTCATCTCAGTCAATTTTTGCATACTGTACAGTGTATTCTTTTAACATCTTTTGACATATTGTCATTACATGCTGGTCGACATGACTTTTTTCCAGCTGGAGAGACGCCGTGATTTGGACCACCTTTGCCTGTTGAGGCACGGGAGAAGGACCGGGAAAAGGCCGCAGAGCTCAATCAGACGAAAGCCCTGAAAGCGATGAGGTCAAAGGAACGTTCAGCCCGGACAGCTTTGGCAAATGCCACTTCTGAGACCCAGGCAAGGAAGAGAGAGAGAGAGAGAGACGGAAAACAGTCGCCAGTGAGAGAATGTTAAGTCTAACAAGTCTAATACATAGAAGTCATTGATTTCTTGTTGGCAGGGACGTGAGCAGCAGATCATCTCCCTTCAGCGCAGTCTTCACAGCGCCAAAGAGAGGGAGGCCCAGTCATGAGTCGGTCACTGTGGATTAAAAAACTCAATCCATGATGTGTGGAGCTGCTTGACCAATCCCAGATCTTCCCAGATCTTCCCAGATCTTCCTGGACCTTCCCAGATCATCCCAGATCCCAAACGGTCCAGGCCGAGCTGTTGCCGCTGCTCCTGTGCCTCGTGTGCGTCCTGCTGGCCTTTGCACTGACGGTTTGCTTTCTCAGGAGGCACTTCTTAGCCCAACGTGCGCAGCAGTTCGCATCTTGCCGATTTCAGTGAACATGTGTGGAGACTGTATCGGCAACTGCCAATTCCCGGCGAAACTTTTGTCAGTTGGTGGGAGATTGCGCAGATCAACCATGATCAATCAGACTTCCAAATCTTCCAAGGAAACCATTCTGCGCTTGAGTGTGGAGCGCTTGAAGGCCATGTAAGAAGCATTTTTGACATCCATACATTCCATCAATTTTAAACTTGCCAGATACAGCATAGATTGCCTGGCTCAACTAACCTTTGATGTTAAGTTAACCTTTAATTGATGTTCCTCCACCACCTTTTTTGGGATCGTGACAGGCCCTGAAGATGCTGGAGGATGCGACGGTACCGCTCTTGTCCAACAATGGCAGCAGCACTCCTGCGAAGGACTCGTAAACAGAACATCGTTTCGCCGTTTCATGTCGTTTCGTTCTGTTTCGCGTGTTTGCCAATGGCAAAGATGGTGCATGCCCAAGGACAAGCTGGCAGATCCCTGAAGACATCTGAAAACATCTGACGACAATGAGCAAGAATTCGACCCAAAGATGTTTGGTCGGTATAGTCTGTGCAGCCAATTCGGTTCCAGACGCTAATTGTGAGTGCGCGTGTCAAGGCGTGCCAGGGCTCCCTTCTAGCAACCGCTAGTCAGATCGAGATGGATTGGGAGGAACCGCTCCATGTACATTTAGCAATTTGATTTCTCAACGCGTTTGGGCGCATGGACCTTGCACAACATACCTCACAAAGATGTTTTGGGTCACTGATAGTCGGAGGGCTTTGGTAAAAGGTTTGGAAGAAACATTTGAAGAAACTTTGCTAATGGTCCTGCGTGTCCAGTCATCTCAAAACTAAGAGCGGCCTGAACTAATTCGATGCGGTGTTACACAGCAGATGGCTTGGAAAGCAGCGCAGCGTAGGGCAGCCGGGTGTGATTGCGACTTTCATTTGTTTTTTTTGTTTTCCCTTTTCTTTTTGTGTCCCGGGCCATTGGGACTTGATGGGAATTCAAAGTATTTCAAATCAAGCACCTGGAGTCACAGCAAACATGCTAAGGTCTTTGGCCATACCTGTCAGGGCCTTCGAGGGTGCTAGGGCACTTTGTGAGTCGGGTTTCTTCCTGCGGTGCTGCGTTGCAAAGGCAGCACCAACGGGACCCCCACCCCAGCGACAAGTCCAACGGCCGAGCCTAGTGTTCCTTCGCTGCAAGCGATACAACAGAGAAGGCAACAGAGAAGCGGACAGGAGCCAGGTGGAGCCTGCGTGCCAGAGATGGATAGGGATGGAATGTTGGAGAGATTACTTTATGATTGTGATACGCTTTGGGAACACAGCCAATTGCAAGATGACTGCATAATATGACTAGCTTCGACCGAACACTGAGGTTTGAAAGAGGTCTTTTGACCTTGTCCAGACCCTCAGACTCAAGAGCTGTATTTCTCAGCCAGTCAACAGCGGCACAAGCGTTTCTGTACTAATTACAAGAGTGTGTGCAAGGCTTGGCAAGAGCGAAGCAAGACCCACGGTGGCGACAAAGGACAAGATGACAGGGCCAACGAGAGTATGAACTTTGGATAACTTTGGAAAATCTTGGATTGGGGGAGGAGTCTGCACCCTAACCTTCCTGGGTTTATGATACAGAACCCATCCAGGTGGGTGCCAGACCAGGTTTGAACAACTTTGATGCTTGAGGAGTCTGTGGCAGAATGGCGGGAGGTTATTGAATTCCAAGTGTCGCCTGAAGCTCACCAAGGTTTCAACTTTCAACATATCAACATGTTCACGTGTGGATACATTCCTGCATTTGCGATTGCATTTGTTTGGGACATGTGGTTACATCATGTTACAGCATGTTCAGGGTGCCAATATTTTGAACGCTGCATGTGGCTCCCAGCCAAACATCCAATAGGCACTTGATAGTGCAGTTGAAGAAACCGCAATGGCAGTGGGATTGGACAAGCCCTTGCTGGGCAATGGTTCAAAGGCAGGCCATACAACTCAGACACTGCTTGAATCTGCTTGAACCATTGTTTCCGCAGTTTCCGCAGTTTCCGGTTGTGCAGGGCGAGGTGGGTTCCACAGTGACAGCCACCGTCAGATGCCAAGAGCTTCATAGCTGGGAAGGTGGGGTGAGCGGTTAGCGTTCCCATAGCCTTCCTGTGTTTCAGGTCATCAACCTCCTGAAAAATATGGTTGGGGCTGGGCTCTTGAATGTTCCGCGCTTAGTTGCTGCCTGGCTCCTGCAACAGCATGGACATTGTGAAATGAAAAAAGGATAAGAATTCTACAAATGGAAGTGCTGGCGATCCCATGCCCACTAAAGCTCTCCAGTGGCCGTCGGTGTCATTCCTTGAGGTGTGCGTTGCATTTCAATACGCATCAGTCATGGGCGGGTTGCTGATAATGTTATTCTCTGCCTTCGTTTGCACTGGAGGACCGATCCAGCATTGCATAGACCGTCAAGTGCTCATGGATATTGAACAGATACAGTACCCGCAATTGCATCATGCTTCTTGCAGGATTCCTGCTGATTGGCTACTGTTGCTCAAAAACCGGGGTCCTTGGCCTACTTGTGATAGGTCCAAGAACAACTATGCAGGGCCGCCATGCGGAACAACATCTCAGCCAAGATCCTCGCGAAGTCACCCTAACATAATCTCTCTCTCTCTCTCTCTCTCTCGCATTTGTATTTTAGATGCGTATTTATATAATATACACAGGATTCGCGGGATATGATTTATATAGATATTTAGATAGCTGTTTCACTCCCTGTCTCCCCGTCCATCAGCTCTTATATACATCTTGCTGTGCCTCACCGCTTGTTGCTCGGATGTTTGCCCAGGCTCGGACTTTCCGAGAGCTTTGGAGATCAGCGATGGGAGCGAAGACGGAGAAGATACTCGGAGCTTTCTGGGCAGATTCCGGGCGGATTGCATGTGGCATGTGGATCATGTGGCAGGTTGGAAGCATGAGACACATGCTCAAACATGGGGCATGGGGATAGGATGCCATGCCATCGTGAACTTGCTGCCGACTCAACACGTTCCGTGGTTGTTTTGGCTTTCAGTGTATTTTTTAGGCCGTCCACAGTGGCAGGCTTTGACAACAATTCTTGTTTCTCACCATGGCAAGTGCTGCCAGCCTCCAGGAGCAGATTGTAGGCGCGTCAGAAGATGAGTTGCAGAAGTTCTTTGAAACTTTGTCCGAAGCTGATCGCAGCAAATTTCTGTTGGCCGTGGCCACAGCAAGCTGGACTGATGGCTTTGGAGTTTGTGGCCGTTTTGCTAGCAAGGACCCGGTCGAAACCACGAAACTCGTGCTGGCAGATGCCAAGATCCAGGTGAAAGAAGAAGTAGGGGCGCCTTGGATGACTGTCATGGGCCACCCCAGGGCACCTGAGGCAGAGAAGGACAAGCTCTTTTGGGTGGCAGCGTTTCACAGCAAGGAGGTTTACCACACAGAGCACACCAATCGTCCGAGCAACAAGACCTTTGTGTCAGAACTCATGGCGACCTGTGCCACTGGTAACCCCATAGTTGACATGAATGGCACCTATCGTGGTGCCATGTACTACATGGAGAAGCCGGAGGCAAAAAACCCAGGCACTGTGTATGTAGCGTTGAGCACTTGGAAAACCAAAGATGCTGAATCCGCGCAGAAACTTCTGGACATGCTGAAAATTGACACTGCAAAGTCCATGGAAACTGAAGCGGAACTGCTGCAGTGTGTTTTGTTTCCTACTGCGCTACTGGGCGGAGATCTGCCGGATGGGGCCCCCAGGGACGACCGCACGGTGCAGATGGTGCAAGTCTTTAAGTCTGATGTGTTGAAGACCGTGCAGTCCATGACGTCGGCTGACAAGTGGAAGGATCTAATGGAGGACCCTGGCAAAGACTACATGGTGCTTGAGTTTGAGGCCCAGCATTTCACCAAGTGAACTGCTTTGGGCAATGTTTGAGACTCAAAGTAGGTCGAATATGTGTAGGCACGCCATGCCAAATGTGCCTGTCCCGTTTCGGCCACACAGCTGCAGGCTTGTGCAGGGCAATCCAAAACGCGGATTTCATAGGGGGTGGGTAAAAGTTTCACAAGAAGTAGTCTAACTTATGTAGAGGAGGAAGCTTAGTGGAGTTTCAGATGGAAAAATCTGTGTTTGTCACTTTGGAAGTTGAACAGATGCAGGGCTTGAGAGCCTGCTGCCTGACCGAAACTCAGGACAGTTGATGTGGTCCTATTCTTCCACACGCTCTTTAGTTGTGCCCCTTTGCTTGAACCATTTGCTTCCATGGTCGCAAGATGTCGCAAGTATCCCTGTGGTAAAATACGGTGAGGTTGTGAGCATATGCCGTGCACATGTTTGCCAGGTTATCCGTGATATATGATATATATTTATCGAAGGAAGTTTAGAAGTCAAACTTCCGACAATATGGACAGATGAAAAGCAGAGCAGGGAAGATGCAGAGAGAAGAGAAAGATTAGAAGAGAGAAGAGTAGAAGAGAAAGAGTCAGAAGAAAGAAGATACAGATGCGCGAAAAGGTAGGAAAGTCGCGAAACACTGTGTTTTTCCAATGATTTGTGGCTCCGGGGGGTCGAAAAGTAGGCTCGCTAAAGCGGCGGGTGCGGAGCCAGCTGGCCAGAGGAGAGATGAAAAATTGCACGCCGTTGTGGCGCGAAGCACATTTCCAAGTCAAAATGTACAAAACACACCATTCTCGGACCACTTTTGGAAGTTGAGATGTTGAAAAAGTGCACGCCGTTGTGGCGCGAAGTACATTTCCAAGTCAAAATGTCCAAAACACTTCAGCGTCGGACCACTTTTGGAAGTTGCGATGTCGAAAAAGTGCACGCCGTTGTGGCGCGAAGCACATGTCCAAGTCAAAATATACAAAACACCGCAGCTCCGGACCACTTTTGGAAGTTGTGATGTCGAAAAAGTGCACGCCGTTGTGGCGCGAAGCACATTTCCAAGTCAAAATGTACAAAACACTAGGGGTTCGGACCACTTTTGGAGGTTGCGATGTCGAAAAAGTGCACGCCGTTGTGGCGCGAAGCACATTTCCAAGTCAAAAGTGTTAAAAACTGACGGTCTCGGACCACTTTTGGAGGTTCAGATGTGGAAAAAGTGTCGAAAAAGTGCACGCCGTTGTGGCGCGAAGCACATTTGGAAGTCAAAAGTGTAAAAAACTGAGGGTCTTGAGCCTTTTTTTTTAACTGATGTCGAAAAAGTAGACACTGCTTAACTTAACTAACTTGACTAACGTAAGTAACTTCACTAACTTAACTACCCTAAGTTCGACGACAACAGCAGCAACAACAACAACAACTACAACTACAACTACAACAACTACACAACAACTACAACTACAACTAGAACTACCACTACAACAGCTACAACAACAACAGCAACAACAACAACAGCAACAACAACAACAACAACTACAACTACAACTACAACTACAACTGCAGCAACAACAACAACTACAACAACAACTGCAACTACACTACACAACAACTACAACTACACAACAACTACAGCTACAACTACAACAACAACAACAACAACTACTACTACTACTACAACTACAACTACAACAACTACAACTACAACTACAAAACAACTACAGCGACAACTATATGACTGCAACTACACTACAATAATTACATTACACCACAGCTACAACTCCACTACGCTACAACTACAACTACAGTTGCAGTACATCACACTACATCCAGCAGTTGTGGGTGAGGTGACCACTGCAACCATTGCAACCACTCCAGCAAACACAACTCCAACCACCTTTCGGTCAATCAGTGGATTCGCTCTGCCATCCGTGATTCACAACAACGAACGTCTCCTATAGGTTTCCTATTCTGAAACTTCCGCCACCGCCTTGTGCGGTACTACTGGTATATATATATATATGTATGATATATTATATATGTCTTCTGCTTCCTTCTGCCAGATTCTGCTGGGATGTTCTGGATAGAAGGGTTTGCTCTGTGACGGGTTGAATTTTGTAGCAGTACATAGCTTTCGCATGCTTTCGCGGGCTACTCGGGTTCTCACTGAGGTTGGATATGTCACCATGATTGGAGACTTTTGCATTAAGAGTGCGTCGGGTTTGATGCCGGACTCCATCTTTGCCCGCCGCCGTGAATCCTCCATTCTAGTCGCTCCCTCGGTGCCACGTTTGGCTTCATGTTGCATGACTGGTTTGTGGCACACTGTGTGGACATGTTGAGGTCATCAGCTTGTTCGCCATTTTCCCACTCTGCTTGTACAAGGCCAAACTTTGGGCACTTTATATAAACAGATTCGTAAAACCAAATGCCATTGGCATCTCTTGGCCATTGCATCCAAACGGGCTAATGTGGACTGAAACCAAGTTGAAGCGAATTTGAGCTGCCTTGCCTGACCTCAGAACCTGGATCCTTTGAAGTACACTTCGGTGGTGGGTCTTGCTATCACTGCTGTTTCATGCGCTGGGGACCCAAGCTCGACATCTCCAGGATGCAGGATGTTGCAGGCCAGAGCCCACGGCAGCACCTTTGAATGGCTGAGGCGTACATTTTTTACGACGTCATTGCAAACGCAGTCTTTTGCTTAGAATTTTGAGAGTTGCTCTGAGTTGCTCATGTGTTAGGTTTCTGTCAGCTAGGTGCCATGTGGACTTCCACTCTCTGTTGTTTTCTGTATTCACTTTATAATTTTACGGCGTGAATTTCGCTATCAGTACACTTTTTATTAGACTCTGACCATGTATCTCAGAATAAGCCTCAGGAAGAGTATGGCGCTGTAGAGACCTTGCAGTCTCATTTTTGGTATGTCTCTTTACTGCATCTCTGTGTCACATGTTTAATTTTACAATTTAATTTACAGGATCTTGGTATATCTTGGTAGTCTTCGACCCCCCCAGGGGCAAGCCAATCTGCATTCCAAGTGTCACATGTTTGTTTTGCATGCAGGATAGGATTTGCGGCTTTGCATTTTGCATCAACATGTAATCCCTCTGGCTGCAGCACTATATAAATGACTGGGACTCATGCCGACATCACTTCTTGGGTGCCATGCAGATATACAGAGGTTCAGCTTGATATGTTCAAGACATTGGCGCTCTTCAACGGGTCCTTCTCAGCGCACTACAATGCTCCGACCTATTATGCAGAGTTGCTACTCTTCAGCAGGGAAACAAATAAGAAACATAGGGCTAGGACATCTAGGATATTCAACGTTGGTAGCAATTGCCTTCAGCTTGCGTAATGAATTGATGTGAATTGATGTAAATCGTGTCCATTAGGATGTTTCCTGAAAAGTTGTGAGTGGAAATTGGAATTGTGAGTGAAAGTTGGTTGCGTCATGACTTATATTCTGAGCCTTACATCTAGGACCTTCTCTGAAATCGATGTCTGAAATGCAGACTGATCACTCTTGGATGCAAAGCTTAACGACAAACCAGCGTATCTGTAGCCGCGGGGTGTACCACTTGAACTGGAAATGGTAATCACAACATCATAGAACTTAAAGCCACAACCCCTCCTCAGAAGCATGCCAAAGGAAAGAAAAGACATTCTTCAACTACATGAAGGTGACTTGGCAGGGTGCAGGAAAGGTTCTAGGATGTTCTAGGCCTTTTGCCCCAGACCTGCTCCTCTGCTCCAACCCATTTTGACTTTGAAATTCTTCCCTCCATCAAAGTGTGGTTAAAAGTGATTTCACTGTTCCATACTTTCCCTGAAGGCTTGCCTAAACCCGCAAGTCCAATGCTCTGATAGCAAGTCGGAGTCATACACGGCTGCAAGTGTGTGACTCCTTGACGCGACATTGGTGAGCTTGCATTCAGAACAGTGCCGGGAAGTGTCGGCCTGCGAAATACTAAGCCATGCTAGGTGCTTACCAGTTGTGTACTGACAGTCTGACTCATGGATACGTACGGTACAACATACGGTACAATTGTTTGACCAATGGCTGAATCGACATCTCGCTGCACATTGCCTCAGGTGAGCTTCTACGCCTTCGGCATTGCCACGTTGCTCTTCACTGCCTTCGGCCTTGCCGGTTTTGCACGCTTTGGCGATGAAGCGCCTTGAACAATGTTGAGGGCGCACAAACATGTATATTAACATATTTATATAATATATAATATATAATATATGTAATGTCATAAACTAATATAACATATCAGTAAATGAAACAGAGCTGGGTTGGCCGCGGTTGACTCATGGAATCCACATAGTCTTTTTTCTTCGCAACTGTCAGCGACTGAGCTTAGCCCCCAGATGTGTCAGGTGCTGGGAAATGTGCTGAAAAGTCTCTTGGCCAGATATGCTTCCATCATCTTCCATCCACAATGTCCCCCCGACACATTTCCCAGATCTTGAGGTTTTGCCATGATAAGGCAGGCGAAGATAAACAATCAATGAGCATTATAGATGCTTCCACGCATGCCTTGAAGAGGTAATATGAGCCAGCTTGGCGGAGCCATGTGAAGCCTTAAGACCCTCAAGACCTTGAGGCTACAGCCCTGACGACCCCATGATTCAGCTTTCTTGGGGCTGTATGATGGCTGCTTGGATGGCACCCATGTTGCCTGCAGCTGTATTTGTTCACCGCTGGACCACGTGAGCTCACAACATCACCATAGACCAAGGTGTCGACCGTTTTCAACTTCCCCCATGCTTTCCAGCAGCTGCCCTAGACAGCGTCACTACCGGAGAGTTCCATCCATGACTGGTGCTTCTTATCGGGATTGAAAGACTGGGAAGACCAAGGCGAATGCGGTCATCCTTCAACGCTTTATTGAACAAGGGTCCGGAGGACAACTTCATATTCACGACAATCCTCCTCCTGTCAGCCTCCGTGTATATGGGAGTGGCCTTCAAAGATATTGCCGTCATCAAGATGATCAAAGGTGCAGAAATGAGTCAGACGAATTGGCAGGAGGGAGAGAGAGAGAGAGAGAGAGCGAGAGTTAGCTAGGAAGAAGCACTGTGAGGATCTGCGGGGGGTGGTTTGCACAGGAGGGATCACTGTGGTAGGCTCTTCACTGTTTCGCAGTACTCCTGTGCAAGGTGCTACGCTGGGTGTCTCCATTATGTGGCTTAGTTGCCGGAAGATGTACCTTTGCTCCAACCCAGAAGACTAGCTTCACCTTCCCGCCTAGGTTTATTTTCCCGGCTCTGTTCTTCATACATCTCAATGAGCCAATCCGTTTCAAGAGGAAGTGTGGCTTGGCTTGCATCATCTGGCACCGCTTTTGCTGAGTCATCAGTTTCCACTCAGCCGTCAACTTGCAGCGCCTCGCATTTGTAGGCAGTGGCGATATCAATGACCCAATGAGCCAGGTCCGCAGAAGGCACGGCAAAGGATTTGCAAGGCATGTCAAGAGAAACAGGAGGAATGTGTGCGTGTAAGATGTTACAATTCAATCCATACATAATAATCATAATTTAATAGTTTGCTTGAAGCCTGTGATGTCTTACCAGGCGGCGAGCAAAGTGGCTGTCTGTGCTTTGTGCTGCTAAGCTGCGCTTGCAGTGTCTTACAGTGTCTTACAGGGTAACAAGTTGACAAATGTTGACAGAAGTGCTACAGGACATGCTTCATCCATCTTCATCCTTTTTTTGCTCCTCCTTCTCAGTTATTGATGCCACAAACTGTTGACGGAGCTGGGAGAATCCCAATGAGGTGATCATGATGATCACGGGTTTCGTCCAGGGTGCACTTGCTCTAATGGTGCACTACAACATTATCTAGTCATTGCACTAGTGAAATCTGATCAAACTGTTGCTATGTTCCTGCATCTCTCGTGGTGCAAATCCCAGTGTCAGTACAACATGCAGATACATGCAGTAAAGTAATTACAGTGAAGTAGACACTTGATTCGCGTTTGATGTATTTTCAGATCTACCCCCAAGCTATCTAGCATTGTCCAATGTTCCCACTGTTTCCAGAATCTTTTTTCTCAAGGTAGAGCATGTCCATCTCCAGTAGCTGGTGAAGTGAAAAATCACCAATCCATGCTGCTGCGAGCGACTACTCTTTGGGACAGTGTCAGGACATCGTGTCACAAAACAGATCCGTTAATTGATCCATTTATTATATAGATCATTGAAATCATCGAAGCCGGTTCCGCCCTGCAATTGTTTCCCCGTTTTGTAAGAGGGATGCCTGAGGGCTGTCAATCCGGATCTCTCGTGACGCTTCTCGCAATCCGAGACGGTCTTCGCGGAAGTCTACATGTGTTTCGGCATGTTGGCAGCAATCCTGAAGTTTAGCCAAGATAGCCGATATAATTCACTGCTTTGTGGAGTCTCGTTTGACACCACGCTCTGTCAACATGCGAATGCGATGTGATTGCCACCGAATTGCTGGTGTGGCAGCTCTTGACTAGCAAAGAACTTGTTGGAAGATGTTGGAAATCGTTGGATCTGGTTTTTGATGCTTGATGGAAGAATAGAGATGGATATAGATGGACAGAAGCAACTGCAGCTGTCTCTATAGTTGATATAGTTGGTCCAAAGGCGAGAGAGTTGCAATCTTGCGAGGTGGAATGGATTGAGAGGATTGAGAGGAGTGATGTGTTGGGAAATGGCCCCACAACGCGAGAAAAAGCAGTGACTTCACGTGACTTCTGTGTCATTTTCATCGGCAAAGTTCTAGGCACGACAGTCACTACAGGTAGCCTTTTGGAACTGATTTGGAGTGCATGGGCTTGCTGATCATGAGGCTGAGCCGATGGATGAAGTCAGTCCAAGGGAAGGAGGCCGGGGACTCGGTGCCGTGAGAAGCTCTAAGAATCTGGGAATAGATCCGACATATCCGACGAGGACACTGGCTGGAACCATGCAGAATACTGACCCCAAGGAACTGGACCTCAGCAAGTTACACAGCTTTGCCAAGGGCCACTTCGGTGTCTCAACTGCACAGCATAGGATAGCAGGGGATAGCATAAGCGAAGGGTGTTGACTTGAGGACTTGAGGAGATGCAATGGTGTGCCCGCTATGCGCCGTGTGCGCTGTTTGCTGTTTGAAGATTTTGAAGGTTGCTTGACAAAAACCATGTGTTTCGAGGAAAGCTCAATGCCCGTCGGAAATCCAATCTCACCCCCAGGACTGCCATGTTCGTGCAGTCACACGTCACACAGTCACACATATACAGTATAAAATACAAAACAAATAAAACAAGACATGACTTCCAAGTTCTTCCTATGTATTTTTGTTAACCGATGTACTTTAGACTTTCGTGCCCTCATTGGCTGGCTGATCGTTGATGCCCGTTGCAAGTTTGATCAGGAGGGCCAATAGGCACCTGCTAGAAAAGGCAGCTGTGGTGTCAACTGCCTCAGTTTATCTATTATGTACTTGATCGACGCAATCGATGGCAACCAAATGGACATGCCACAAAGTATATACATCTATGTGACCGGAGAACTGATGCCAGCCTGCCTCTCTATCCTCTTTTGGATCTTGAGGTTAAAGACGAGACTCCGAGATTTGGTTTTGCGCCGCCTGTCTAGCGGTGCCTCTGCTTCTCTTGGTTTGTCTGCAAGGGAAGGGGACGAAGGCTGTCTGAGCATAGAAATGGAATGTGGTGAAAGCATTGCTGCACAGTCTGTTTTTGTAGGTATGGCAGCATTGCGTTCATTTTCCCTACGAGAGGCGTGGGATGTGTGATAGTCAAACATGAAATCCGAAATCCAACACTTCTCTCGCAGGTATCCATCACCACAACACATTAATGCCTAATTAGTAAGACTAAAGACCAAAGACGTACTATTTTTTTTAACCTTTGCACATGTTTGTTGCTTTCGCCCAGGCCACTCAGCATATACCTGGGCCCACAATGGGCGGGCCAAATCTCTCAGAGATCACCAGACCTCACGCCTCACATGTTGTGCAATGCTCTTGCTATCGGGCGCACTGAGATGGTATGGTCGCCACTCTTAAGGAACATATTGTAACATACTGTACTAGAATTGTACTAAGTATATCTAAATATATTGAAGATATCTATCTAGATAAAAGATAAAAGATACAAGTTCCAACATTTTCTGGAGCTTGGTGGTGTTTGGATGTGATTGGCTTTCATTTCTGCGCTCCAGTTCTGCATTTTGGCTCGAGCACCTTTTGGCCTTCCAAGAGCTGGTCGCCATGTCGACCATTGTGGAGGTTGGAAGCTGGCGATTGAGAAGATCCAATCAAATAAACATCGAACATCATCGAACCATATCAACAGCAAGTTGTAGCCTCTTCCTAGTTGAGCCAATCGATTGGCAGTTCTTGCATCCTTCTTGGGAAGATGCCTTCAGATCGAATTGAATGACATGTATCTCTTGCCTGGTCCAGTGATAGTTGGATACTGAGAAACTCCTGCCAGACCGCTGTTGAACACCGTGGGGCAAATGACGAGAGCACCTCCTTTGCATTGCAGGGCGAATGGAGTTGAGATGATTTGAAGATTGTTTGCGTGATGCTGGTATTTTATTGTTTGTGTTGGTCTCGTCGTGCCCATGTATCATGGATGCATGATGCACGCACAATCAGATATTGACAGACGTCAATATCGGCAACCTGCATGCACAATGGCTTTGTAAGATGCGAGTGATCTTGATTTGCAAGAGATAGTGAGAGCCTCAGCGATGCAACTGAGGTGGCATGGCCGTAACAAAATCGCTGGAGAACCTCTCGCTGGGTGGTGTGGCGGCGGTGTACCCACAGGCGCTGACATGAGCTGTGAGAGAAGCAAAAGCTGTTTTCTTTTTCCCTGTTCCGCGAGGCGAAGATGCCCAAGAAGTACCGCATTCCTCAGAAGGGCGAAGTCAGCACATACCAAGGACCTGACTGGACGAAGATATGCGGCGACAAGTCGACAAGCTGCTTTTTGTCCATTCTGCTGCCATGTGCTTCGTGCAAGTGTGAAAGGGAAAAGGAATTGATATATTACAGCTTTGCGTACGGAACGCATGGGGTGAACTTTGGCCATACCTTGGCCCAATTGGGTGATAGGAGCTGGAGTCATCCCTGTCACAAGACTGCCGGATGGTTCACATCTCAGCATTTTCTCTGCTAGACCTGGGTATCGTGGGCATTGTGTTTTCCAAGAGAAACTGATCTGAGGCAAGGCTCGGGTCCTACTTTGGCAGCCACAGAAGGGTAAGAAACAGGGCGTGCGCTGGTGGGACTTTGGCGGCAGCAAGAAGCAAGCGGAGGCAGGGCAAGGGTTGAACACGTGCCTAAGAAAAATTGTCGGACGGCCAAAATAGAAGGATGCCCGTACATGCGGAGAACTTCCGAAAGTAAAAGGTATTTGCGCGCATTTATATTATATAAGATATACGTACGTATACACACACACACATACACATAGATGCCCAATTGGCAGTGCATAAGTTTTGATGCGGTTTGAAGATGGGCCATTGTGACCCTTTGTTGTGTTTCAATGGCTCGGGAACTTGCTCAGCCCCGACTGAGCAGGAGTTTGCCAGCAGCTGTGCTTGCCGGAAGTTTGCAAAGCAGACCTATGGCCTTTTCGGCTGTGTCACTTGGCGCTAAAATTGCCTTCGAGATGAGATCTGGGCTGACTTCAGAACTTGAGCCAACTTTGGGGCTCCTTGAGCTCTTCACAACTGGATGCAGCACTTTCACGATGAGTGCACCAGAAAGGTTCAGCACGCTCTTTAATCATTATTCAAGATTCAAGATGCAGAGCGGTCTTGTTCAGTGGATCGGCAGACTATGCCGGGTTTGTGTTCGCCAAGGCTCTCGACTTGCAAGGAGACAAGGCGCCAATGCAGCTTCGAGAGCTCTACCAGGTGGGCTATGTTTTCCTGGAATGGCCAAATCATGCTGAATCACTTGGAGGGTTTTTGACAATCCTTTGCGGATGGCACTTGATCTGATGGGTGTTGCTTTCTTTGAGTTCCCATTTATCAATGTCAGGCCTGTACGATGTAGACAGTATGCACTCAAACGCCAAGACATGCCAACCCTGCAGGGTTTGGCCAACCTCCCGCTGATGCTGAAGGCAAGTGAGGACCGCCAAAAATAAACAGTCTCATCACGAGCAACTGTCATTTGCAAGGCCTTACAAGCCAATCCAGGAGACAAGGATGACAGTCAGTCAGAGTGATTATAGAAATCTGAATTCATTTTGATCCTCCTGGCAGCATGTGCCAGCAATGCAGGAATGGGCTCATTTGCAGCTTCTTGACGACGGCCCTCGGATATTCTTCAACGACATCCATGAGTATTTTCTGTACATGTTGTGCGTGCCATACGTTCCAGAGGACTGGTTAGTTTGCTGCCTCCAACCTACTCATTGATTGTCATTGCATCCGAGAGTTCAGCATTGTTTTGGCGATGCGGGCAGGAAGTTCTCAATGAGGTGTCAAAGATCGTTGATGGCCGCAAGCGTGTCTTCAGGCCTGAAGGGGAATCAATGTAATGTGTGTGTTCTTTATGACTTGGAGCCATGAGAGTTTGCGTTCCTGGGAAGATTCCGTCATTCCGTCCCCTCCCCGTAGGTGAACATGTCAGTTCCCATGTGACAAGCTCTGCATCGACATGCCAATTGGCCACTAGAGAAGTAACACTGGAGTCTTCCGCTGCACATGTTGTCACAGCCATCCCTATTCCCAGCTGGTCTGAATGGCAGGGGCATGGTTGATCCTGAAACTACTTCGAAGATAAAACAGAGTCAATTCATTAGCTTGTTCAGCAGCTGATTTCACAAATTTTCATATTTTTCACCTGATACTTCCCACCTTCCCACCTTCTTTCCACCTTCTTCCCACATTTCCAGTGCCGCAGTGCCGCAGTGCCGCAGGTGGATGACCGTGGAGGAATTGGCTGAGGAGGTCATGGCGCCCAGGCTCCACATGGCCAGCTTCGCACTTCAGCTGGAGAATCTCAACGATGATCCTTTTGTGCCTTGGAGATCTTGGAGATCTATGGCAAATGCGGCAAAAGCCAGATGCCTGGATGTAAATATGGTGAAATATGGATGTATCGACATAGGATAGACATATGACATCTATATCTATATCTATATCTATCTGTATCTATATCTATATCTCTATCTCTATCTCTATCTCTCTCTCTATATTTATATGTGTTTACGTAGTTATATAATTGTGTATGCATAGAGAAGACATGAGATGAGTGACCACAGGTGGTGCAAAACGTCCAAAGATGTTACAGAGCAGACATTGCATTGAGGTGCTCACGGGCAGAACTTATGGCAGCGTGGCGAGCAACATTGCCACCGGATCTTTTTCTGCCGTAGCTATGTGATGCGATCCTGAAAATCAGGATTCACTTTTAAGCTGTGCTGTGCAGGGATCCAGCTGCTGAAAGCAGCTGGGGCCTGGACATTTTGGAAGGCTGGCCGATCGTGCTGTGCATTGCTCAGTTGGCTGGGAGAGTGATCAGGTTGAAGATGAGAGACCATGAAAGACCCACAGGACCGGGACCTGGCCACTTTGGAATTTCTCTGCTGGATTTGGTGATGTTGGCAATCTCCTCCCATGCCTTGTGGGTGTGTTTGCACCTGCCGGTAGCAAGGTTTTTTTTTCCAGCGCATCCTTCTTAGAAGGACTTTTGATCCAGCCTGCCAAGTAGGCACAAAGTGCCAAGATGGAAGCAAGATGAACAACGAGTTGGTCAGTCCAAGCGAAAGCGTTGGATAGAAAAAAAGTGGATCGGATAGCTTCTCCCACACGAAAGCCGATCTTTCACTTGATTTGTAATGTCGCGACGTTTCAACATGCTTTTGTTGCTCTTTTGTGTTCTCTTTCTTTGAGGTCAAGCATCTTTAAAGAGTTGTTGAAATCCCAATGCCAATGTGCTGTGCCAGCCTCAGAAGCTGAAAGCGCTTGTGTCCGACATCCGGCAACGAGAAGCTGATTGACCAGTTCCTGGAAAGAATTCAAGAAACAGACTGAAACATTGTAGCAAACTGCCACCCAGGCTATAGCTTGAGACCCCGAATGCTTCTGTCACACATGCACGGCCGTCCCTGCAGCTTTGGGGTTAGATGAACTACACTGGTGGGGTCAGTGTAGTTGCACTTGTGTACTGTGTGTACCTTGTGCGTGGCGTTGTTGGATGGCATATATTGAGCTCTACCGAGAAGGCTTCGACTTGAAAGCCCAGGACGTTAAACCTGGCTCAGCAGTGCAGCTCAAGTGGCAACTTGAGCTGTCAAAAACCTGGACGATCGACGGGTACCTGCACTGGGACCGGCATGAGGGCAAAAAGCCGCTCGATGAGATTTACAGATATTAACCGCATTCTCATTCCAAACATGCATATGTTAATGACGGGTTTGTTGACCAACGATGATGGACGCAGGTTCTTTGCATCTTCAAAAGTTGTTCCTTGATCCCAGACCCTCTGAATACACTGCTTTGTGGGCAACGCCTCTACTCAGGACCAGCCGTGCTCCACGCTGGTTCTTCACATGCTTGGAAAGTAAGCAGACTTGGAAATCCTTCAATGGCATGCACAAATCGGTCGAGAGTCAAGGAGGGTTGTGACCTGGCTCTTGTTGGCTTTTGGTCAATTCCAGAGAGGGATGTCGAAAGGCTGTGGGGAGGGCTTAGTTTTCGCGCAGTTACAGAATTGTTTTAAAAGTTAGTTAGGCCATCATTGTGCAGCGGATGGTTGGGATATGTTGGGATTGTGTAATTATGGCCTCCTTGGGAGTGCTGCGTTGACCCGCTTGTGAGCCCGTCAGCAGCCTGCGATAGCCTGCAGCTAGTCGCATTCCGTTGGATGTCCACCCAACCCCAGACACTCAGGTATGTATGCTGTACTTGTTTCAATATGTATTAATCTGATTTAATCTGGTGTTACTAGGCTCCATGCTCAAGTCAGCAAACCTGATAGTCTTTCATTGTGATGTGATGTGATGTGATGTGTAATCCAATGTGAATTTGGCACCAAGGACGAACAAAGAGTTCCAACAAATGGGGCAAATCAAGGACCAGATGAAGGGAGAGCTTCACGTTCGAAAGTCTGAGCTGGCCAAGGCGAACACGCTCATAGACTGGGATGCAGAGGCACGCTGGCAGAATTTCGAAAAAAGCGCCAAGCGGTGTCGTCACGGTTCCTTGGCTAAGTCATCTCTTTTTCAGTGCAAGAGCACCAGGTGCTCAGAAGCTCCAGTAGACCACCAATTCATACACTAGCAGACTACAGAGGACGATTTATACAAGATATGAACCAACTACTGTGTTACTGTATACAACATTATCCAACATTCTTTTATATAGGTTCTTGAATTCTTGAAGAATTCAATTCCTGAATTCCTGAATGAAGACATCTCAACTTAGGCAAAGAGCTGCTGCGTCTTCGAGAAGAAATTGAAGGTCGGGGCAATGCTGGCCCAGCACAACCGGAGTGGCAACCACATGCCTTCCAAGTTGAGGCCAAGGTCCTGCCAAGGAAGAGAGGTTGCGACTCCTTCGAGATGTGTTTGATCAACCTGACCAGCAGTGGAACGAGTCGGAAGAGACGGAAGGTGGAGAAACCACAGGCCTCACAGGCAGAAGCTGCAGGCTCCGAGGAGGAGATGGAGCTGGACAAAGAAAATTCCAAGCCTTGCCTGAGACCTGTGTCAGCTTTGCTCAAGGATGAAGCGTTGGCCAAGCGTGAAATAGAAGAAGGGAGTGCCCTCTGGAAGAAATTGGAGATGGATGAGGAGGGAACTTTCACGACGGACGAACTTGGCACATTGTGGCGGGTAGCCATTGCCAGGGCACGAGTCACGGACGACGGACAGCTGCCGTTTCTCTGCCTGGATCTGGTGAAGAAGCACGTTTGTCGATCCAACTTGGCCCTCGTCCGCTTGCTTTGTGTGATTCATGCAGCCAAGGCGGCTGGCCGGCAGAAACAAGTCAGAGACTTCATCCGAACTTTTATCAAATCGCTGGTGAGAGAACTGTTGGAGCAAGTCTTCTCTCCGCAAGACCAGGCCGGCAATGTAATGGTCAGCTGTACCATGTCTCTTGAGATTAGTGATTAGTGCAATACCTTTCTTCAGACACATTATTCACATATTTCCTGAATAATATTATATATGTTGATATATGTTGATACATCCATGTGTCACAGGCTTTTTTCCATGCACATGGCGATATCTGGTGGCAAATGGCAAATCATAACTAACTAACTAACTAACTAACTAACTAACTAACTCACTGACTGACTGACTGACTGACTCACTGACTCACTGACTCACTGACTCACTGACTCACTGACTCACTAACTCACTGACTCACTAACTCACTAACTCACTAACTCACTAACTCACTAACTCACTAACTAACTAACTCACTAACTAACTGACTGACTAACTAACTGACTAACTAACTAACTAACCGACTAACTAACTAACTGACTAACTAACTAACTGACTAACTGACTAACTAACTAACTGACTAACTGACTAACTAACTAACTAACTAACTGACTCACTAACTAACTAACTAACTTACTAACTTGTTTATATATGTATACACGGGGCAACGTATGGCTATTTATAGCAATGATTCCCAAGTGGAAGATGAACAAAGACGCCACAGATGTCACAGCTGGAGACCTGCCAGATCCGCCAGATCCGCCAGATCCGCCAGGGCCAGCTGCTCTCCTTGACGCGCTTCGTGGATCAACCCGAGCGCTTGTCCAATGCTCGTAAAGCGCTGCGAGGCGGGGACCGAAATGGGTGGAACTCAGTGGATCGCCACAATTTCCCCAGACTGATGCCATGGCCATGGCGGAGCGTGACTGCAGCGGCCATACCTTTGTTGCTGTGAGACCTTTTCAGGTTCAAATGGTTCAAGAGATCTTTGACAAATGCCGTCAGTCGTATGATAAGTCGCCCCTTGCTGATTCTATCGGCATCCAGGGTACCCCTGCATTCGGTGCGGCCCATGGGTACTGCAATGAGCGCCATGAGCCATGTGGCCTTTGCTGATGCTGCCATACAGTTTGCATGCTTCACCGTCGCTGCTGCCCTGCAGACTGAGAAGTTCTATGACATATCAGCCAGTGTGACCTACATCCTTTGCATCCTCATCTCTCGCCGACAGGGTGTTCGATCCAGTCGCAGCAGCGTAAATTCAACCCTGGTGATTTTGTGGGCGCTGCGGCTGGGCAGTTTTCTTCTATGGCGTGTCCTTCATGATGGAGGCGACTCACGCTTTGCCAAGGCCAAAACGAAGCCATTGACGTTCTTCATCTTCTGGGCTATCCAGGCGCTTTGGATCTTCATCACTGCCCTCCCAGTGTACCTGGCCAACACCCCAAGGAAGGCTGCATCTGAGCAAGACCTGGAGGATGGCACGAATGAGGCGGGGCCGGATGTTGCCTGTCTCACTATTGCAGGCAATTCAACATGTAACATGTGACACAAGATGACACAAGTGTACAGTTTATGTGACAACAAGTCAGAAGTTCAAGATCAAGGTAAGCTAAGCATATTCAAAGCAAACCCAACGTGTTGTTTAGACCACGCATCCCTGGCAGTCTGTGCGCGACACTCCGATTGGTTGGCGTGATGTGATTGGCTGGTCGCTTTGGTGCATAGGCTTTGTGGTGCAGTTCACTGCAGATGTTCAGAAGCGGATTTTTGCCGCGGATCCTCGAAATCAGGGCCGGTGGATCAACGTGGGCTTGTGGCGTTTGGCGCAGCATCCCAACTACTTTGGGGAGATGTGTAGCATGTTGATCCAAGAGATAGCATATGTTTGATATTGTTTGCCTGTTGTGTGCCATCCTTTTTTTGGGGTTTCTCAATGTCAAGTGGCCCACAGAAGTGGCATGCTAGTTCCTTTGTGGAGAGTTTGCCTCTTTCACTGTGCAGGCATGTGGTGGGGTATCTTCTTGAGCTGCTCTGCATCTTTACGAAATTGGGAGCTTCTGACAGTGCTATCTCCATGCTTTGTTACTTTCCTGCTGCTTCGTGTCAGTGGAGTGCCCATCCTTCGGAGGACTGGATTGAAACGCTGGGGTCACCTCCCAGAATACCAGGAATACATCAAGAAGACGCCCTTGCTGCTTCCACTACCTCGACCAGGGAGCAAGTGAGCCCAAGAAAGGTAGATGTGGATGGAAGTGGCACATTGATTGAGACTATCCTTGTTTTTCAGGCTTTGTGCCCCCACAAGCTCGGGGCAGCAAAAATCTTGCAACATCTTGAAAAAAGTTGAGCAAAGCACCAAGATATGATCGTGATGCTTCTCCTTTCGCTGAGCCTGCGTAGCAAAAGCGGCTGCTTCTTCCCTGCCAGGATGCATCTCAGATTTGTATACTTGGATTAGATTTGTTGTGTGCTAAGTATGCTCGGCAGTCTGCTGTTGGAGGCACCACTGCCATCGAAGTCGCAGCAGGCTTTGCGGTGCATTGCGGTCCGGAGACACTTGGCAGTTTTTCGTTTCGGTTGATTCCTTGAAATTCGTACCCAGTCAGAGTAAGAACGAACGTCAATGGCCATTTCAGGAACCTAAATTGGAGGTACCTACCATATATAATGTCTATATAAGGCCTATGTCCCCAGGAAATATGGCCTTATATGGTACAGTACCTCCATTTTAGGATCCTGAAATTCCCATTGAGAACGTAGTGCACCCCCACCCAAAAGAGTGCTTGGGGTGTGTGAATTTTCCGTTGCCACCGCCATGGCCCATGACATCATCCAGGGTGGCGGAGATCATTGCAGAACTCTTCAAACCCGAAGATTTCCAGCGTCCTGCGGTGGCTGCTGTCGCCTTCGGGGCAGTGTTGGCGGCAGACAGTCAAGACGTCGGCAGGGTTTTTCAACTTCTGGCCGAGATGCTGCGCCCAGGAGAGCAGGCTATATATGATCCATGGATACCCAGGGCATTACGTTTCATGCATTCAGATTCAGATCATTCCAGATCTTTGACCCTGAGTTATTTGAGAGATTTTTTTGACTCAAGGGAGGGAAAGGGAGGGAGCAGCACAGAACTTGTGCAACTGCTGCAAGGAGCTGCCGATCTGCTTCTCCAAATTAGCCTTTACTCTTTGCTGAAAAAAATGCAGAATGAGGAGGTGGACCAAGCATTGAAACAGCTTGAGGCTGGATTTTTTTCACTACGTGTATCAAGGGATGGGCTGCTGAATAACACACCATGCCACCACAGTGCATTGTCTCAGTAACCAGGCACCAAAGCTCCCCAGCACTGCAGACGAACTACGAAGACTTCCTTCTCTGCCGCAATTGCTGACAGCATGGAATCCGGTGCCTGGCGATGAGCTGCTTGTCTTCAGACGCTTCAGAGAGGGGTGTCTTTTTTCTATTTTTTTCTCCCCTCTCCTCCCAGTGAGCACAATGGATTGAACGGGCTTCGATGAACGACTCGCCAAGGCCCCTTGTACCTGTAGAAGTCCTCAAAGACCTGAGTTCAAGCCCGCAGGACTGAGCTGTGTTGCAACATATTGGGCAACATGTTGCAATGCAGTGTTCCGTCACCCAACAATTCGTCCAAGTCTTCAGCACAAGAGTTCTGCCTATTCTGTTTTCAGAGAGAGAGGGAGTGCCTGGAGGACCAGGACTTATTCATTGCCATCCTGGGGAGCTGGAGTCGGCACGCTCAGTTGGCCGGCCCTACATCGAACGACAGACATATAAAATCCTACCAGACTGCGGCGGTGCGTGGCTTGGTGTTCTTAATGCGACCGTATGCACTACAGTCCCAGTCAGTTCTGCACAACAATGTTGCATACAACGTGTCTTGGCTGCAGGACCTTTGTAATGAAAATTCAAAGGCTGACCTGGTGCTGACACGGGTGTGGATAGATGCTACTTTCGATTTGTTGGGGGTGTGGCTGCATTGTCCTTTCTTCTTTTATCTCATTATTTTTGTGCAGTGATGTCCATTTGATGTTGCAGGAGTTAAAAGGATCATCATGCAAGGGAGTTGGGACACCCCGTAGTTGTGTGTTCTTGTTGTTGCCAGGGTTTGCAAGATTCGATTTGAAGCGACATGACACTATCATTTGTGCCAAGTTTTTTCCCACACCTCGCTGTGCCTGATGCCCGTTGCCGGAATGGGGGTTGGCTATTCAGATGGCACAGGGCTGCATTTCCCGAAGGGCCTTCCATGTCACACGGTGCAAAGAGAAGAAGAGAGAGAGAGAGAGAGCGATACATATACATATACAAATACATATGCATATGCATATACATATACATATACACATACATGCACATGCACATGCACATACACATACATACACATACATACACTTACATATACATACACATACATACACATACATACACTTACATACACTTACATACACTTACATACACTTACATACACTTACATACACTTACATACACTTACATACACTTACATACACTTACATACACTTACATCCACTTACATCCACTTACATCCACTTACATCCACTTACATCCACTTACATCCACTTACATCCACTTACATCCACTTACATACACTTACATCCACTTACATCCACTTACATCCACTTACATCCACTTACATCCACTTACATCCACTTACATCCACTTACATCCACTTACATACACTTACATCCACTTACATCCACTTACATCCACTTACATCCGCTTACATCCGCTTACATCCGCTTACATCCGCTTACATCCGCTTACATCCACTTACATCCACTTACATCCACTTACATCCACTTACATCCACTTACATCCACTTACATCCACTTACATCCACTTACATCCACTTACATCCACTTACATCCACTTACATCCACTTACATCCAATTACATCCAATTACATCCATCCATCCATACATCCATACATCCATACACCCATACATCCATCCATCCATCCATCCATGCATACATACATACATACATACATACATACATGCATCTATACATACATACATGCACCATACCCGCACCATACACGCACCATACACGCACCATACATATATACATGCATGCAATACATGTAATACATGTAATACATGTAATACATGTAATACATGTAATACATGTAATACATGTAATACATGTAATACATGTAATACATGTAATACATGTAATACATGTAATACATATAACATATATGTATATTACACACACATATATATATACACATACATACTTACACACACATATATATACATAAGATTATAAAACAGGATCGGTGGTGGAAAGGAAGAACCGGCCCTTCCAACCCCTAAACATTGAATGTGATGCAGATGGGAAGGAGGATTGCAAGACAGGATAAGCAGGCCGCCAGACCAAAGAAGTAAATCTACATTTTCCAAACGAGAAAGCGCTTTCACTTCTACCACGGCCACCGCACAGACTGAGAGAATCAAACGTCGAAACAAAAACAGACAAAACTATGTTGCCCACCTCCCTCTCAGATTTAAGCCTTTCAAAGGGTCGCGCGAATTTGCTTTGTCGAATCTTCTTGTGTGCATATGCTTTTACCGGGCCTCTGTAGGAAGATATAAGAAGCTAGGCCTTGCACCCCTGTACCTTTTGACGCTCAGGTGGTCAATTGCCTTGCAGTGTCAATTCCAACGAAACCTGATGCATTGGAGACCTTGCGGCTTGCCTTTGGCCTGTCTGAGCGGCGCTGGCCAAGCCATTCTGGCCAGAGTCCAGACTTTGGGAACCTTGGGAAACTTTCCGGGATGAAGTTTGCGGACTTTCTGAATAAGCCTCACCTTCGACAGAAGGCGCTTCTTGCCATCGATGGATAGGTGAACTGGTGAACCATGAGCCAACATGGTCACATATGGTCACCATATGTCACCACTATAACTCCAATGTAACTCCAGTAGAACTGTTGATGCACCGAAGCTCCCCAAGCTGAGGAAATGGATCATTGGCAAGTGCTACAGCTACGGCCCTGCGGAAGCTCCAAAGAGCGCTGAGGCATTGGAGCAGTTCACCATGTGGGCTTTGCCGCATTTCACTGGCGACTCCAGAGAGTACTTGTTGAAACTGCCGAACCCCCCAGCCACTGGTGAGAGGAGGAGGCCAGTGGAACAGCAGCTGGAGACTCGGCTGAATGTCGTTTTCCCATGCTTTCCTGTTGTTTTCAACCCCAGGTTGCTGTAAAATGATCTTTGTTACATTAAGTGACATTCCAATCTTCACCAATCATCATTTTTCATAATCTTAGGAACTACGATTTGCCTATGCGAATCAGATCTGCGAGTCTTTGGCACAGCTCCTCGGAAAGCTGTCGAATCCACCACCCGACATCTATGGCCTCTGTGCCTACACCGAGCTGCATGCAGCTTTGCTGGGCTTGTGCACAAACAAGAGGTCCAGCTGTGGCAGCTCAGCAGCACCTGGTCAGACGAACGACGGTCCGATGCGACGGTGAATCCCAGGGAGCAACAACTCTTTTCTGCACATGTTTTCTTCGTATAGCATGTTGGACTACACAGGATATGTTTGTGTATAAATAGACAATAATAGACATATACATAGTATACATAGATACACACACACACACATGCACACACACATTAATATATATATATAATATCATAATTTATTAATATATATATATATATATGCACATAGTGGTACTTGGAATGCATTTCTGATATCACTTGTGTGTGTGCTTGGACAAAGTCAGGGCACAACCTTTTTGGAGGACTTTAGCCAAGAGACGTGAAACTCAAAAGGACTGAGAAGCCCTTCTTTGGCCGAAGCCCAGGTGAATTCTTGCGTCACCTTGCACCAGACGTGGGGGCATCTTCCGTCAACCCCTTGAACAAAGTGCTGGCCGCGGTGAAAGAGGTTTTGCCGTCGAAAAAGGCAACTCTGGTCGTGATTTGTGTTGGAGCATTTGTTGCAGTTGCAATATTTTTACTTTTTTGGACCTGTCCTAGGCATTGCTGGGCATATCTGGGCATTCTTAATGATGGTCCATACTAGCGCTAGTGTTAAGTCGTAAGGCTGTGCCATAGTGATTCTTCTTCCCTGATGTGACTTTCCACTACCTGATGTGACTTTTCTGTATCGCCGCTGCGACATGGGGATGATGTGACTTTTCCCACCTGATGTGACTTAAGTACGGTGCTTGTAGTGCTCTTTCGTGTTTTGTGCGAGGTCCCTCCTACAGTGCAGGATTGGGTCTTTGCATCATTCGCCCGGGATGTACACAAGCTCATGCTTCTTGGAACTTCTTGACTGAAATTCACATGATTTCACACATGATTGTAGTATATTTCAGCTGCGGCCCAAGGCTGTGGCTCCAGTCATGGCGAACAGCTGAACCTCAAGCTGCCGTGGCTTTGCTGCAACCACAAGATGTTGTCTTTCAGACTGCAGAAATTCCCCACCTTCCAGTCCCATCTGCAGCATGCTGCAGCATTTCTCAGGAACGGATGAAGTGGCTGTGGTGCGTGGCATGCATGGCTTCCAGACACTTGAAAGGACAGTGGGCGCCGCTGCCGCAGTGCCCGGAGGATTTCAAGCTGGTCTTCAATCCGCTGCAGCGCCGGTCCTGGCCAGGCTGGGAACAGGGACAAGAGAAGCATTCTGATTGGATTCAAAACATTCTATCGATGTGTGATATATGTGATGCATGGCGGGCAGCTTGTAACATGTTAGGGTCACCATGTTGCTCTGCTGTTTCACTCCAACTCTTGCTGAGCTTGACAACTGGGTGTGAGCAGTTTCAGCCTCCAAGGTTCGAGCAGTGTCCTGGATGACAAGACTTGGGCTTCGCGGCCTCTGTCGGCACTATTGGCCTACAAGGCCAACCTGTGGCTGCGTGAAGTGTTGATAGATTTGACATGATTTGACTCTTTGGTGATTCTGGCATATTCTGACTCCGTCACATCTGTCACGCCAGGAGGATGTTCCCAACACCTTAGACAGTTGGGATGCTCTGCTTCGAGCTGTGGAGGTGCTTCTGACAATTCACAACTTCGCAGGGTTCACAGCGGCTATTTCAAACGCTGGAGAGTTTGCTATATACACATTTAGAATGTCCTATGTTCATACTATATACATGTTACTGTAATTCTGTTTGAGACTTCATTTGGGCAAGGAGACTCCCTATGCCCTATCCTGGGGTGTCTTTGCTGAAGCTCTGAGCGGCTCCGACTGCTGTGACTGGGTGTTGACCTCAGTGTTTGGTCTTGGCATTGCACAACAATTAAACTTTTAAACAAATCTTTATTCATTTTCGTTATTCATTACATGTCTAGTATGAAACTACTTTCATCTATTTACGTTTACTTTGAATGTGTTCCATTCCTCTAAATTGTGACTTCCAAAGCAGCGAAGGTTCGTTTGAGACCCTGGCGGGCCGCCGTTTTCAAGGGGCTTCGTGGCAAGGAGGGGAAGCACCTCCGTGCAGCCGGGTGACCGAGGATGAAACCATGAAGTGGATGACGACTGGTTTGAATGAAACGGGCCATTGATGAATTATGATGAGAATGGTGATTCAATATATAATATATTGAATGATTGAATTAATATATCTGCCAGCACTGAATAAACACGTTGCCGTTCATTGCTGTTCATCGCAATTTATTGCTGTTCAGTGGAGTTTGGCTGGCTCCTGAGTTGCGCTGACACCACCTGAGGCGATCTATTCGCGGCTGTATGCTGTTCACCGCTGTGTGACGCGACACCAGCAGAAGCGTAGCGGCAAGCCAATCCAGCAGCTCATGCTGACGGCGGGGCTGCCTGCTGTGGAATCTGTTCAGGGAAACCATGAAAAGTGATGAAAAGTATAACTGCCAGTGTTGTACAACACTTTTGTGAGCGTGTTGTGCTCAAGTTGCCATTTGAAAAAACTTGTGCTTAGAGGATCAGTTTGCTTGTAGCTCTTTGTCTTCAGCTTTCATCATGTTTGTACGCTTTGCGGGTGGAGTGGCTTTCCGCTTGCAGGAGATCCTGGAGGATTTAGAGTTTCTTGGTCCAGTGACGCGGATGGCAATAGCTTGATTTGGGTTTGACATCTCTAGGCTTCGCAGACCCACACTGCCCAGGAAAACAAGTCAATTGCCGACCCAGCACATCCCAGCCTCAGTTTAGCCGGTGGAGACCTTGGCTTCAGGCCATGGAAGAAGTTGGGCAGCTGTGCCTTGAGGCGCCCTGGGCCAGCGAACCAAGCAACGAATTTCAGGAAGGTCTTTGGAGCTTTCGAGCCTTGCTGCCTTTCGGCTGCATTTGA